GTGGAGACTGCCTCAGGGCAGTTCAAGCTTGGTGCCGGCTGCACAGCCTTTCAGGCTGAAATGTATGCAATCAAAATGGCCATTGCCTGGTCTGACTCAAATTATACCAATACTAAAGTGTCCATCATCTCAGACAGTCAATCCTCTATAGCCTTGCTCAATAGTCAAGCTTCTCACCCTATCTCAGCTAGTATCCACGACATCATTAACAATTCCAATAATATCTATCACGTCAGCTGGACTCGTGCCCATCAGGGCACACTTGGTAATGAGAGGGCCGACATACTTGCAAAGACTGCCAGTGAAGACGACAATCTCCGGATCTGCTATAATAGCCCTACCATTAAAACTATCAAGAATATGCTTTGGAAAGACCTACTTCAGCAGTGGCAACATGATTGGAACACGCTTAACCATCCAATTACTCACAAATTTATTCCCAATATTGAACTATTTCTCTCAAACAATTGGTACAAACCATGTCATCGTATGTCTCAATTTTTAACAAATCATGGCAGGTTCCAGTCTTACCTGGCCAGATTTATCGGAGCTGCAAACTCTGATTGTCCTCTTTGTGGTGTGGACGACAGCTCGGATCATTATATCTTCAACTGTCCTATGTTGGATCACGAAAGGCACTTTCTGAGGTCCTCTATGGAGGCGCACGGATACCGCTGGCCCAATGAATCCCACGGTATCCTGGACAATAAAGACGCCTATGAGGCCCTCACAAGGCTCATCAGTGCATACTTTTATCGCACCACCGTTCCTGGATACAAATAACCTTTCTCATTATCTCATTAACGGTGTTGTATTGTCTTATTTTTATTGCTACAGGTACTATTACTTTGTAACACACTGTTTTCTTTTTTTTTATAATTTCTTAACGTATTATATGTTTTGCTTACTGAATTTTATATTATTGTTTATGTATTTTAATTTTCTCAAATAAGTTATTGTAAATTTAGTTAATTGCTATTGTATCATGTTTCTACTGAAATATTGTGTTATACTTTGTCTGCATTATTATTCTATAATGTATTGTATTTTGTTATTTACATTCTGTATTTTGTGATTCTCTGCTGTATAATATTTCAATGCATATGTTTTCTGTATCACACAACTTGTTATTTTATCCCCATCTTTTGTATATACTACACATGTAATGTTACTGTAGCCTCTAATGTTAATGATCTGTAATAATGCCATTATGTTCTTGTCTGCACCTGGTTATATGTATATGGCACCAGGTATGTACTGTAACTCAGTATTTTATTAATAAAATGAATCTGAATCTGTATATGCAATGATTGGGATAAAGTCGACATTTTAAAAAAATCGGGAATATACGCAGTGCAAATGGAAAATCCAGTAACGGGGACGATTGAGAAGTATATAGGGGCAATGACAAGAATGCTTGCCGTATCGCAGAACTTCAGGATGATATAAACAAAGGAAGACAGACCACAGAGCTCGCCAGAAAAGTTCGACAGCAGGGCTATAACCCGTTATGGTCAAAAACAGTGTTGCTCAGGAGCTGTAACAACAGAAGAATTACATTTATTTGGGAAGCACTCCTTACAATGACCACAGACGCATGCAACGTCCCCACACTCGACTTGCTTGAAATAAGCGCCAAGAGTTGCACAATTAGTATGATCGCTCCTCAATGCATGCGCTGCTAGTCGTGTGGATTTAAGATATTTCAAACGCCCGCAAAAGCTTGCTGCACATGACCAATGGAATTACCGAACGTTATAATTTAGAAATTGACAAGAAAAATTTTCCATTTTCTACTTGGAACACTCTGCACGTTCTAATTTTCAAATTTGTTCTTTTTTCGCCTGAGGACGACGATATAACACTCGTCGAAAGTACTTGTGATATAAGAAGAATCGTATTAATGCTGAACTCAGTGCTTTTTATCAAGAAGTTAATTTTATTTCAAGTTTGTATTTATTTGAAATGAAATTGTTGATATAAAGCAAGTTAATGAATGTAATTATTTATATACAGCTTTCCTACATATCTGGAAAGTAACAAAAAATCAGGGATTTTCATTAGTGTTCAGAAAAAGCCATGGAAAGTCAGGAAATTTGCCTTCTTGACTGTATTGTTAATTTTTTTTTTCTGACAATATGCTTGACTAAGTGTAGCTGTCTGCAGACAGTAAGAAGTAATGTGGTGCAAATACAACTTATGAAAAAGGGATGCAGAATATTTTAAGGACCCAAAATTTCCCCAAAAATTTACAAAGTAAAGAACATGATAACATTTAAATTAAAATTATTTATTATTTTTAATTTTCATAATTGTGATTGTGTAACAAAACAATTTTTGATCTGTTTTTCCAGTTTATTAATATTTTATAAAGTTTAGGAAATTTATTAAGGGATAAATTTAATAAATATATACTTTTGTACATGGATTATACAAGATTTGTTAATGAATAATAAATAAATAATGGCTTTTTTCTTTTTTCAAATCCATGTACAGTTCTGGTTGTGGATTAATAACAGAATAAACTTCTTTAATTTAATAAAACATTTTATTTTTAGTTTTAATAATTTGGCAATTATATTGACAAAATATATAGCTGTTAATTAGAAAAAATAACTAAGTAAAAAGTTGTAGAAGCAATAATGTATGTGCATAGCAAGTCAAATGCTGTTTTATTTTGTCAACAATGTGCCATATTGTAAGGGACGTGAGAGTCAGAGAATTTGTACAAAGTTGATCAGGGAAAGTCAGAATTTAAAACAAACATTTGAATAGGAACCCTACATATATACAATTAAGACAATTTTTTATGATTTTGATTCATATTTAATGTCTGGATTTTTGGGTGCTTTTTTCTCTGTTTTCAATGCTTTTAAATGCTGTATTATTAAGACAAAAACCAACAAGAAGTATTATGTTTACATATACAAAATTGTATTGTAAACTACATAGTTGTTTATTGCAATTTACATATAAAGATAAGCATTGTAATTTAAACAGTAACCATTTCAATGATCTTGAAAGTGATGTTTTCTCATTTGGAGGATAGAATATCTTTAAGGAAAAAGATCTTTCTACATTGACTGAGACTAAAGGTGGCATGTTTCATTTTTACTCGAAATTCTAGTTCAGTGCAATCCAAAATATTTTTCAAATCAGAATTTTTGATAAACTAGATCTGAGTTTGTCCAGGGCAAAACTGTCCAATACATCAAGCACCTGACTTACAACATTCCACTGATCTGTCATTTCAGTTCCATGTCTTTCCAGTTTGTTGATTTATCCACCAATAACTTTTACGAATGCACAGAATAGAGCTCTGTAGTTACTACTGGATCAGCAACCAGTTTATTGATACTGTCGACGGCTGCAGAATCGTCAGGAGGAAGTTCATTGATAAATGCATTGATTTTCTCAAAGTTCTTGCAGTAGAATGCCACACTGTTTATCAAAAATCCCAATGGGTGACCACTGGAGTGGGTAGTAATGGTAGTCCAGTTATGTCTTGGTACAAGTGCTCCCAACTAGGGCACTTGAGAAGAACCATTTTCATTTTTGTAATGAAATCATTGGCCTTGCTATAGTCTACACGAATATGTTTGCATACTTGGTGTAGGGCATGGGCAAAGACAAGTCACATGCTTTAGGTTGTTCTAGATGCACTTCAAATTTGAGAATGCTGACAACATATAAGATGCTTGATCGGTAATGACAAGCCAGACCTTTTTGTACTGGACATCATTTGGCCACAACTTGATGTAAACATTGAAAGCTTGGGACACTGTAGTTGAGTTCAAATTTTTAAGTTTGTACATTTTAAACAACATTGAATGTACAGTACATAGCATCCGGTCAAAGGTGTAAGAGTGATGTCCAGCACATACCGTTTTGTGGAATCCGTTATTTCGTTCAGCATGAACACTACAGGATTGTCACTAACAACATCCAGGATTTTAGATATGGTTTGATCATAAACTGGTTTGACATACTTTTTTCTAAGCATGCTCTTGTCGGGGACAAGCTTTCTCATATATTTCTGAAGAAATGACATAAAGGCTGGATTGTTTACCTTATATAAGGTATATTTGCCTGCAGAAGAATGGTCATTAAATCTGCATAAAATGTATTATTTGCCTTCTGAGATTCTTCTCCTTTTTGAAATGTGGCCCTTTAAATGTCTGCTTGAAATTCTTCCTTTTCTGTTTGCTGTGTCTATGCTTTTCTGAACTCTTGTCAACTGATTTTCATTTCTTGGTGTTTCAAATCAACCACAATCACATAATCGCAAATGGAACAGAGAAGAACTTTTCCATCTCTGCGTATGTCATCATCTTTAAACTTATTTACTAAAATGTTTGGTTTAGATGCAGACAATTTTGCCATTTTCTAATGTTTGCTGACTCTAAACAAGGAAATTGGAACTTATGCACTCACAAGTCAGAGTAAGGTGATGTCAATGCAGAATTTTCTAGATTGTTCTTTTCTTAGAAAAGAAAACACGTGTTGCAGATTTTCAGTGAATCTGTTTACATTCTTAGAACAACCTCAAGGCTTAGTTGTTTAGTTCCAGAAAATCCCCTTTTTCTCTCAACAAAAGAAGACAGTAAGCTAATTATTGTATTTTTTTTCCCCAGCATAGGTGGTCTGGTTTAAAGAATTTGTTTTCCTCAAGTGAATGTATAAAAACTACCAAAAAAAAAGAGATAATTGTCAACATATTCTTTGAAAATGTAAAATAAGGGGAAGCTAAATAAGGGTGCAAAATATATAGTTTGGGTGCTAGTCACTGTTTTTGGGGCAGGTTTGCATTTTGGGTGCATTTGGATGTTAAACAATTTGGCAATGAGTGGGCCTACTGCACTAAAGATGTAGTTTGTCTTTTTATGCTATGCCCCTTTCAAAAACCGAATGGATGCAACACCCAAAAATCTAGACACACTTCATATTATATATACTTAATAATTTTGAACTTATATTAATTAGATTATATTTTAATATAGATTGATGAAAGAAGAAAATGGAAGATGAAAAGTAAGATTAATTTTAGAATGAAAATATATTATAATTGACTTATTATTAATTTATATATTAATAATTCATAATGATATATTTTTGTTTTATAGGTTTCCTAAAATAGATAAACAAGGTGTTATGATGAATGATGACGAACAAGATGAATTTCATACAGCTACACAATTATTTGGAGACAAATTTTCAGCTGAAATTCCAGAGAAGCAGGAATTGATTACCAAAAGTGAAGCAAATGTTGAAACTGACAGTAAAGAAATTTCAGAAATATATAGAGCAAATAATATTGATTTGATCCACAAAAATGAAGTATCAAGTATGAAATCTCATTTAAAAGATAAATGTAACGAACTTTCAGTTTTAGAAAATAGTTGCATCAGTGATGCTAGCAAGGATCTTTTTCCATCTTTTAGAAATGAGTCACAGAATTTTCAAAATACATTGAATTTTATCAACACAGATAGTGGATTTATTTCTAATGTTGATGATTCATCATTGCAGTGTCCTACTGCTATTTATAATACAGATAGTTTTTCAATCAACTTTGATAATAGAGAGCTTAAATCATCAAGTTTTGACCAAAAGGATAAAGAAACTTTCTCAGAAAGTGATAATGAATCCTTAATGAAATCGTCTCTGGATCCAAATTCACTTACTATTTCTTCTGTTTTAAAATACTCTTTGAGGAGAACTAGACCACTATTTCCTGAGATTACTTTGTCTACTTCACCTGAACCAGTTTTGGATGAGAATGAATCAACATCTATTTCTGAATCTAAGAATTCTAACAACATTATCAGTGATTATGCAATGTTGAATAAAGTTAATAAAATTTGTTTTGTATCTGAAAACAATAACATCGAAAATTTGCAAAAACTATCTAATTCTAATTGTGATGAAACTAAGAACAAGACGGAGAATACAGAGGATAATTCTGTAGATTTTTCTGCTTCCAAATTATCAAGTATGAAAAATGATCAGATATTAAAATCCTATGAGAAAGCAAATCAGATTAAAGCTATGACAAATAAACATTGTGTGATAATTAAGACTATATCTGATGAAAATTATGAAAAAGATGTAAAAATAAAGCTTAGATTAAGTACATTAATTGAAGCCTTAGATCTTATGTCTAAAGTACAAGTGCCTGTGCAAAAAAATCAGAATTCTTTAGAGGCTCTTGATCTGCAAGGAAACCTCCAGTCTAAAAATGAAAACTGTTTGAATGAGAAAAGCTGTATAATGAAGAATGTATCATGCATAAATACACCCATTCATCATGAAAAGAGAAGGGACTCAATTAAACTGAATTATGATAAAATAGAAAACAGAGAGCATTCTAAGCATCAAAAACCTCATCCAGAAAATACATATTTTCTGAGATCACGTACAAGAAATGAGATTGGAAAATTTTGTAAAGGATGTGGGAATTTTGTTCAGGATGTCAAAATGAAATTGTCTAATTATTGTCAAAAATGTCTAAAAAAACAAGATGAAAATAAAAAGCCTAAAATCCCTATTTTGAATGATAGGGAGTTAAACAAAAATAAAGCAGGACGAGGATCTTGCAATTCTGAGAAGAAATGTCAAGGTTCTAGAATTCCAGTTAGCAATATTTCTAGATTGCCACTTACACCTCATCAGACTCAGGAGCCATTCAAACAAATTCTGCCATTGAGAAGATCTAGGAGATGCCAAAATGTCACCAGTACCATTGCAAAAGTAAGTAAAATTTCAAAATAATTATATTTATAAAATAGTTTTTAATAGTATACTGAGAAAACAAGTTATGATTTAATAATAGAAAATTAATAAATATTTTTCTTTCAAACAAAATAAAATTATTTTCAATAGTTGTTCTGTGGAACAGTACTAGATATTAGATCGGCACTTCAGTTTATCAATACTAGATTTATAAAATCATTTTATAACAATTCTTTGATTGACAGCAGTAATTTTTGGCAAAGTGCATTTTGAGCCTCTACCTCAGCAGTTGCCATTATTAGCTCTTTAAACACAAGATAGGTCAAAATTAGCTTAATCCATTTGAGACAAAATTAGAATATCTGATTGTACACAGACTGAAATATTTCTGAATTTATTATTATTTTTAAAGCATATATACTCTATTAATGTTGATTATTTGTTTAAAACCAATATTGTACATTTAAAAATCTCTTTATTGTACTATTATTTAAATTTTTGATTTAAGTAACTTTCATATCATTTTTAATGTAATTTTTATTATAATCTTTATAGAATCTTGCAGAAAATCCACCTCCTCCTCTTATACAGACTGTTCATCCAAAAAGAGAACTAAGAATGAGAACACCCTTAAGAGAGGTATTTCTATCTTTGTTTTAAAAAATTATCCTTAATATTGTTATAAAATATTTTTAAAATGAAATCTTTCAGAGTAATTCATTAAATGAGGAAACAAAAAAAAATAAAGTAAATACACCTAAATCTTTAAGATTAATGAATTTTTCTCCTTTACCATCTGTTCACTACACTAAAAATTTTACGAACTTAGTAAGTATTATTATTTTTTCCTTTTAAAAACAATCAATTGCTATTTTATTTTTCAGAAATTTTGATGTGATTTATGTTTTGAAATTGATTTTATTTTCATGTACAATAGAAACAAAGGGAATGGGATCAGCTGACACAAAAACACACTGTTGAGAACAGAAATGTGAAGATGCAATATTTTCCTAGCCTCTTCAGGCCAACCATTATCAGACATAAGGGTCAGTATTTCTTTTGTTCAAAATTTTAATTAGAAATGAAAAATTTTGTTGTTTTTTTGTTAACATTTGTTCTTTTAAGTTTTGAATATTTAAAAAGTTTTCATTTTCTACATCAGGAAACAAAAATCTTCAATGGGCGCAACATCTAACGACAGATAAATCGTTAAATTCTAGTCCTTCGAGAATTTCTACTTTAACAGCTAAATCTATTTTAGTAAAAGTTAGTAATGTTGTGTAATTCAATATTTAAACTTTTCTAATAAGTAATTTGATTTAATATAAGTGAATAATTTTAGATTAATGTTCAATTTATTATTTTGAAATTTGAGTTTATACTAACTGAAATAAAATATCTTTATAGGTATTTTAGATGTTTAATCAGTATTATTGTATTTTTAGCGTGATAAGCATGACATAATATACCCTGAAGATATGCCAGTCAATATTAATGAAAGCATTATTACAGAAGTAAGTATTTCTCAATTTTTGTTTAAAAATACAGTGGAACCTCGCTTAACGAGCATAATTCATTCCAGAATCTTACTTGTAATGTAAAACACTTGTTAAGCAAAACAATTTTTACCATATAAATTAATGTAAAATATGAATGCATTCCATTCCGAAAAAAAATACTCAAATATTTTACATATAACATTTATTCAAAAAAAGTTATACAATATACATTGTTAAGGAGCATGAATCATTATAATTTCTTCTAGTGCAGAATGAACAAACCTAGAATGCAAATTTGATTTGCAGTAAACAAAAGAAAATTGAAATTTAATTTGGAATTGGTCATTAAATTTAATATGAGATGGTAGCATAACTGCCTACCTCTAGTCAAATTATTTAATTTGTAATATTTAATTATAGCCTTTACATAACCAAGAAATTGTCATATCGTTTGGCGTGTTTGTTACATAATGGGTTATGGTTGTTAATGTTTATATGTAATACGTCTGAACACAAGTTTGGAAAAATGTGTGATCAGAAGCGACACTAAGATGCTAGCAGAATGAGTGCTAAACATAGACTGATGTAACATGTGCACAATCCATGACTTCTCCTCCTCTTTTCACTCATTATGCAAAACGTCGTTTGTTAAGCGAGTCATTTTGTTCTGCTCATTATGTGAATTACTTGTTATGAGAGGTGCTCATTAAGCGAGGTTCCATTGTACTCCCTTATAATTATTTTTATATTGTAAAATATTGTAATGTCAATTATTTTTAACATTTTTATACAGTTGTTAATAAAATCTGTTTTAAGTGCTAAACACAGAACTACAATATTAAATATTTTCAGCAGTCTACAAATGATTCATCATGCTACAAGGATATTTCAACCAGCATTAAGTGCACGACTTTAGAAGAAGTGCATGTTCATTATACCAATACCCTATATTCAAAATGAAGCTAGGCTTAATTATAGAAACTGTAAAAAAAGGGAAAAGGTTAGTTTGGCATGGAATTTTAGTCTCATTTTATGTGAATAAAATACTTGAAATGTGACTATTTCACTTCAAACAAATTCTTTTACTAGATTTAAAAAATCTTGTATAATTTAAGATTAAAGTTTGTACTGTACATTTAAAGTGTAAGCATTTTCCACCATATTTTATTAAACAGTTATGTTAATATGATATTAATAAAGATGCTTTAAAAATAAATATTTATTTAATAATAATCAAATTTTGAATTGGTTATAAAATTTTATTATTATTATTTTTTTCATTTTTCAATTAATAGAACACACAATGATATTTACAGATAGTTTGATGTCATCATTTTTAATGTTTCCAAATAAACAAATCTTAAAATTAAGATAATCTTTCATTGTTTAAAAAAAATTAAATTGTTGTCAAATTTTAGATAACTCTAATTTAACATTAGTTTTAGTTGATTAATTATATTTGAAATTTTTTTATAAAAAATATGAAAATTTATAGTTTAACTGAAATAACTAGGGTTTCCATTTAATGTTACTAAGAAAACACTACAGTAATTGAGATCATCATCATATGGGAGATAGGAGATTATCATCAAGTTTTTCCAAAATTATGACAAACTTAGAGATGAGCAAATATTACTTTTGTGGAATTCAAATATTGAATTTGAATATCAATCAGAGCTTGAATACTTAGTGAACTTAATTGCCTTATATAACTTAACTTTATTTAATATTCAATGTTTATTTAATTTGTTGATTTTATTTCGATACATTAGTAAATTCTAAAAAATTAAACTTCAAAATTTTGATTTTGTTTTAAACTACTTTCTTTTTAACTTACAAGGAAACTGTCAAAGTGTCTTCTAATAAATTTTAATAAAATTTAGTTAATAACTACATTAAAAGTATACAAACTCTATTTTAAATTTGTAGCATTCACTAAAAGTGTTGATCAGAGTTATTAGCAATCAAATGTTGCACTACTTTATAGTAGTTTAGCACAATTATGCAATTTTTTTAGAAGTGAAAGGGTCGCAGAGGAAGACGGCAATATTACATTTAGAATAAATTCTGGAATTTTCAAAAATGGTTGAAGAATTAATAAAATTTTGTATACTTTTAACATAATTATTAACTAAATTTTATTAATTCTTCTCCCATTTTTGAAAATTCCAGAATTTATTCTAAATGTAATATCGCCGTCTTCCTCCGCGACCCTTTCACTTCTAAAAATTTGCATAATTGTGTTAAACTACTATAAAGTAGTGCAACATTTGATTGCTAATAACTCTGATCAACACTTTTAGTGAATGCTACAAATTTAAAATAGAGTTTGTATACTTTTAACGTAGTTATTAACTAAATTTTATTAAAATTTATTAGAAGACACTCTGACAGTTCCCTTGTTAGTGCTGTTATCTTAACTACAATAGATTAATGAATGATTGTTCTCATTTTCACCAACTACAGATTTATTTACAAAAAGAAACATTAAACACATTTGAGATCTAATTTACTTTTCTTGTGGCAAATTAAACCAGATGTGCTGAAGACAAGATTGTCAGATTTGAAAAGCTCCATTTTGGGGAAACCCCAGTCAACTGGGAAAAAGGGGAAGAGGTATTTACAAGGAATTTTATATTCTCAAAGGGAAAATTGGGGAATATACCATTTATTATTAAAAATTATCATTAAATAAAAGGTTAAATTAATTGTTTTTAAACTTTTTTATTGCATCTTGGATATTATTAGATTCCCTAAAGAGAGAATTCCATTTAAGCTTGTAAAACTATCTATAGTTTTATCAGGATGATTATGATATAAAATCATAACTAAAGATACAAGTATGATCAAATTGATGTTGCCTTTAATCTCGCATGTTTCTTAATTCTGTTGATTTATTACATATACAGTAGATCCCCCTATAAGACGGTAGATACGTTCCGTTCTTTATGAATCAATTTTGTAGGAATCATAGTTTACGGACTACGGCTGTTTGAAAGGTTTTCTTTCATAAAATTAATCGATTCTAGACTAATTCGACTCAACATTTCCAAAATACGTATATTTTTTTG